GATGCAATAGACCTTTTTTAAAAGCTGCATCTACCTACCCTGGCACCAAAAGGCAGTGTGCTGTCGCAAACCAACTGTAGCTGAGGACAGAAAAGGCCGAGCAAGACAAGGAAGGCAAGCGGCAAGGCCATTGCAAGCTGAGGAGGCATGTGACAGAGCCTTGCACGAGACATCCTCGCGCCGCCGAAATTCATTTTCTTGCTGCACATAAGCTGACATTTCCTGGTGTGACATATGGCAATAGAATTCCTGCCTTTTGTTCTAATTAAAAAGTTTTCTCCAGCAAAAAAGAAAAAAAAAGATCAAAAAGGTCTTTGATCGATCCGCTTGCCACAGGATATTCCACAGAGTTCTGACACCCAGCGTCAAAAGTCTGCGATTGTGGTTCGAGCATCAAAATAATCTGATCAAATTTTGACGCCCAGCGTCAAAATTTCGTGTGAATGAGCCATTACGGTTAGGAAAAAGACAAGATAAAAGATTCACACCTTTAACTGCGATGTGAAGAAAAAAAATTGTTACATACCATATTCTACACAATATCCTCTTGAACCACAGGGCCTGCCACTCCACGAGTCTCCATAGCCGCAACAAGGGGTGGCACACCTGCCGGTAGGAAGCATCAAATTATAAGAAAATTATTGGTTCAACAGTCAACACTGAAATCACAGGCGCTTTGAAGTTACACACATGTGACACCTGGTTTAACATTAAGGAAAATTAAAAGTGCACACGATTAAAGCAAACACTGCACCAAACTTGCTCCTAGACTTCAAACTTTTAATATGAATGGTGGGAAAGCATGAAGCTGTGAAATCCAAGCCTGAAATCCCATGCTGGACATGTGTATACTCACCATAAAGAAACCATTTGTGAAATTATCCGAGCCCTTTAACTTGCACTAGAAATATTGCTCTCCCTTCAGACTGCTTCGCCACCCCAATACCCCTCAAATCTCATTCCCTGATCTTAGTCAGCTCAGTTCAGTGGCTGTCACTTTTATTTTCAAAATTTCTCTCCTAGTGCACATTCAGTATTTTTGTGCATATTTCACTGCTTTCGACACGGGCACTCACTGTCAACACGCCGCTTCACAAACCGCTCCCAAATCGAGTAAGAATGCTGCTGCCACTCTATATCATACTATGAGTGGCCCCATTTCACCTATGTACAGTTGCAACTTTAAAGAGAAATGCACAAGCTATTCCTGTAAGGAGAACAGCAAATTGAGGCATGAAAATTGACACTGTGTGTAAACATAGAGACAGTCAAACTCCAAACCCAAGCAGGGTCAGCTCTTGCATCACGATTCAGTGCTTTACCATCACAGATATCGCCTACCCTGATTTTGAAAAAGTCTCTCCTGTATCAGCATTCAGTTTAACGAAAAAAACTTACAGAATCACAAAGAATGGTAGCAGCAGTAGTACTCATTTTGGGATATGAAGAAGCTTGTTGACCATTTAACGCAGGGAATTAAAGCAAAGTGTAGATAAGAAAAATGTTTTAAACTTTATTTTTTTGCTTTGTATACATCTTTGTAAGTATGGCCTATGGGCGCCGCCATCTTGCTTACTGGGGGGTTTTAGGTACACTGTGGGCCGCGCCATAATCTGACTACGTCTTCTTCTCAAGGCATCGTAATTAGGTTATGGCGCAGCTCACGCGCTCTCCAGCTAGGAAGATGGCGGCGCCCAGGGGACGTACCTGCAAATGTGTATATGTAATCGATCACTAAAGTTATTTTTGGTGCAAATGAACTTCTAAGCAAAAAATCTTTTAGGTTGCAAATTTGCGACATCGAGCAGTTAGGCCTGGACAAATAGGTTATACTGTTTCACCTTACATCCGGATGCAGAGGACGCTACGTTACAACCTCGACCTCCTGTGCTCTGGCCTCGGCCGCCCTAGCCTCAGCGTCCCCCAGTCAGGTCGGTCCTGGTCTCAACCTGCTCCATGCTGGCTTCAGCCTCGGTGGCCCTGCCCTGGTTTCGGCCTCGTTGGCCCAGGCTTTGACCTTATTAGCCCTGGCTTCGGCCCCGGTCTGAGGCTCACTGGCCCTGGTCTCGACATTGTTGGCCCAGGTCTCGCCCTCCTTTATCCGGGACTCCTTGGACCTAGCAGAGGCCTCTTCAGCAGAGGCCAGGGCAGGTACAGCGAAGACAGGTCCTCGAGCTTGTGATGCAACGTCCTCAGGATCCCCAGAAGATGCACGGAGCTATAAACAGAAAATATAAGCAGTAATGATAGATTATCAGAGTTGTACAACAAAGTATGTATAACATTGGAAGTCCTAAGCAACTGCTTCCCAGAAGTGACCTCTGACTGACCCGCAAAGCTGCATTCCCGTTGCCACCAACTTTTTCTAATGCTGAGGAAAATAACATCATATGTCATCTGCCCTCACAGTGCAAAGGTTACTGAAACAGTATATCTAGTCTCCAATTACTTCAGCATTCTGAACAGCTTGCAGTTTGCATGAATGAATAATTGATAAGTACACTTGAAAAAGCAATAATGACATTGATTAAAATATATCTAACCAAGCACCAAAATGGCAACATTATATAAATCTGATGCGCTCTCCATAAAGCTAACACTTTCTAACAAAAATGTTGTTATACATACCCTGTGACCTTTCAGCTCCTGGCGAAGCTTTTTGAGAAGCTTGTCCTCCACAGTGTCTTTTTTTTTTTTCTTGTGGGCTGCTTGTTCTGCAACGAGTGATTTCAAGAAAAAAAAATCAGCAAGTTTTTGCAAAATTTCGAAAGACGTTGCGAACGTCGCTGTTGAAGCCGCAGGATCACAGCGTGGTTCATGTTCCGAAGTTCCGCGATTATAAGCTGCGCCATTGTAAACTCATTTCCTTGACGTCACACTTCGAGCAGAAGAAGCTCTTGTCGAAAAAATAATCAGCGACGGACTCACCCGGTCTGTGTCCGCCGGAGCATCATCTCGTAGAGTGCGAATCGTCATCATCGGGGAACACCATCTGTAGTTCTTCAGCCCATTTCGACCAAGTTTCCAGTCGCTTCCCGGTCGTTGGATGCCACTCAAGCCGTCCCGCTCACCTTCGATGAAGCAACAGCGAGCGTTATTTCATCGCTCCACCCGGACTGCGTTGCGCCGCCACCGTGTTGATATGCGCCTCCCAGTCCCGCGCACTTCATGGCGCTCGCTGCCGACGACGAGTCAGAGAAGGCGGGAATGGACGCCGTCAAGTCTGGCATCGCGGTCACCGATGCGAAGCCCGGTTGCGACGCCAGGGTCCGTACGAGCTCACGGTCCGCGGCCATGGCTGTGCTTTCTCGTCGAGTCAACGGGAACACTGAACGGCCTCTCGTCGGTGGCGGAAACAATGGACGCGCACCACCGCCCGCGAAGAAGACTCACGTTCGTCGGCGTGAACGTGGCTGTCGCAGCCACCACTGTTCCGGGGAGGCTCAGCGGTAATCCCACTTCGGAATGCTAAAGTTTTCGAAGTAACATCATCGAACGTTCATAAAAAAAACTGGTTTATTTAAAGACAACAAAACTGACGGCTGATCAATCCGGCACCATCTGGATGATTGTATGGGTATGGATACTACTGCGGCACCTTGCAACGCACTTTGTAACGGGCGGTAGCTTGCGCCACCTAGCTTAAGTCTAAAAAGCGACGTATTTGCAAACGTGGTCGGTCACGCTCGCGACTGATAGAAATACCAAGAACTCAAACGCGTCACGACAGCAACAGACCCCAAATCATTCGAATTTTAACACTGCAATGAAACCACGCGGAGCTCTCAGACGCAGACACGATGAAGCTTGTTTTTTCTGCGTCGACGAAACTCAGGAGCATCGATTTCGCGACCCGGTGCACCACTACACAAACTGCACTGCTTTATAATCCGACTGAGAACTATCGACGACAGAAGATTGCTCGTCGATGTTGGTGGGGCAAATAACACTTAGCACTGATGATTAAACGATGGAATCACAGACGTAGTCGGTCATGCTCGCATATTTGTTGATTGTCACCAAGCAATCACTTTCTTTGTACGCGGTGTTCGGATTCATCCGCCAAGCGCCTGACTTTTGCGGGTTGCGATGTGATATCAGCCTCCCGAAGCTGGTGGATCAAACGGTAATAGCGTATCTCACTCGCTGTTGCAGGCTGCTCACCGCGTCCGTGTAACCAGAACGAACTGGAAACGACAACAACTACGCTGAGACTGCAGCGGCTACCTTTCATATTCCTGAAGATATCAACTAAACGTACCTTTCACAGTTTTTCTTGCGCTCTTGTGAGGGGTAACCACTGCGTCAACGCAACTATTGTTGTCGTTTCCAGGCGGCTCATTTCTTGATCGCCACGCCGGGAAGCTACGCGTCCACAGCGTGTGCGCAACTTATAATGGTCACTACACTCATTCTGGGACGGTGCAATCGCAGACGTAGTCGGTCACGCCTGCCACCGGAACGCTGAGAACTTGATCAGGGGGCTCACGTACAGCACTGAAACGCCACAGCGCTCGAAACAACGCGAGCTGCTGACGCCATTTCATGACACAGACACAGCGACGAAGCACAATGTTGTCCTCATTTCATGGTGAGCGCAGCTAAGCATACTCGGTGCATGCTCTGATTATCCTTTCAGCGCACTTCCATAGTAAACTTTTCGTTCACTAAAAGAAACCTTAGAGAGGCAACTGATAAGTCACTGCACGAATACTTACAAGATCCTTCCAGCTTACTTCCATAACGTTCTTCTAGTGCACTAAAAGATACCCAGGACAGGCTACTAGTAAGACGCTTCGCATGAACTTAGAAGCTACTTAGGTCTTAGCTAGTTTACTAAAAGTATACTATTACAGTACTTACTTCAAGCATACTAAGAAAGGACACTAATAGTACAAGCCTACTTCTGGCTAGCATCCTTTAATGACAATTTTAGTATACTTCTTGAAAATGAGTATCTTAAAAGACCGTAAAGTATACTTAAAGTAACCTAGTTTTCGCTAAGGGGAGGTACCCTCTACGCTGCATTGTTGTACTTGCGATTTCTGGAACTGCATAAACATGATTTGAAATTGCTGCATCATCTGCTGCATCTGTTGCTGCTGCTGTATTTGTTGCTGAATTTGTTGGTGTAGCATTTGCTGTGTTTGTTGCGTTTGCTGAGCTTGTGTTTCTACGAAGCGCAGCACTTTCTCTTCCCAATTCCCGCTTTGGGTAGCTTGGGTAACCGCACAGATCGGCGGGTTTTCTGACGGTGTTGGGTTCTTTGTGAAGGAGGGAATTAGCACCATCGTTTGTTCAACACTCTTCTTGATCGCATCTTGCTTCTTTTTTTCCAGTTCTGTTTGTCTGCGTTGCTTGGCACGTTCTTCTTCTTGTTTGTCGTTTTCAATTTCCACTTTGAGCTGGGCCACACGTCTTTCAAGTTCCTTTAATTGATTTTCTTTGGCTTCGATCGATGTCTTGTTCGTTGAAGACGTTCTCTTGGCCATGTTGGCATTGGCGTTTGGTAGATCCTGTTTGTATGTCGTGCAGTTGGTGCCGGTGGGGCCCTTCTTGGTACTGCCGGTGTTTTCCAGCGGCGGAAACTCTTCGAGGTCTTGTAGGGTGGAGAAGCGGTTTTGGTAAAGGGATGTTCTTCCTTTAACTGTGCCTATGTTGTGCAGGGCAGTAGCCATCCTCTTTCATGGAGACGCACTTGCCACATTTGTTGCTTTGCTTTTTGCCTGTGTCATTGCCTGTGCTCTTCTTTGTAGCTTTGCGTCCGTGCTTTTTTTGGTCTCGCAGTTGGGGTCGAAGGCTGTATGTCCCGACACATGGCAGTTAGGGCAATACGTATCTTCACATTGTTCTCCTTCTGGGTGAGGTTCACCACAACGCCTACATCTCTGCTCTCTCGTGCAGACAGCTGCCTTATGCCCGATGCCGTGGCATTTGAGGCACAGGACGGCTGTTGGTTTGTACGTGTATACTCTGAACAGTCTTCCGCGATGCGTGATCTTCCTAGGAACTCTATTTCCATCGAACGTAAGAAGAAATGTGCCTCCCCTCCCAATGGGTCTTGCATGTAGGACATTGCAGTAGTCAGAGTCTGAGTAGTCGACAATGTCTTGTGCTGTGAACTCTGCATCCACGTCGTGTATTACTCCTCTGGGCATGAGGCCCGTGGTGGATCTGTATGTTTGGACCCCTACCTCCGTGCCGTCACCCAGCGTAAGAGTGCTCATCTGGAGGATGTCTCCTGCGTGCGCCTCACTGTAAACAGTAATGGCTATGGTGTTGTTCCTGTGATTGGGATCGTAGCTACGTCGGTCTCTGTTGCAAGGAATTGTAAAAAGCTGTTTCAGTTGGTCCATGAGGATCCGCGATGAGATGTTCGATATTCTGGTTTGCGTCGTGGGTTTCACCACAATCACAATCTTTGGTTCGTCAAAGCGCTCAAGGTGGGTTCCCCATTGTGGTTTTTGTTTTTTGTATGCGACTCGCGTCCAACTGTTTGTCGTTTCAGGAGGAGAACTATCGTTGATGTAAGCTATCCTGTTAATCTCGTCGTCGCTGATCTCGAAATTATCGTCCCGGTCCTGACTACGGAATCTTTTCGCCGGAATTATCACCTTTCTTGCGTTGTTCTTGTTGGTTTCTAGCTCCATGCTATTGTTTTCGTCGTTCTCGGTGCACCTTTCGATCGGCGTTGTTTCAGTACTCGCCATGTTCAGAATGCGGGGTGATGGGCAGGCCTAGTTCTGCCTACCCCGGGTCCGGGCCTACGGCGGCCTCTCGAGGTGAGAATTAAAAGAAAGACTCGCCTACATTTGGTTCTGCTGGAAGTCTTTCGATGGGTCGCCGTCCTTCGGTAAAAGATTTGGGTCGGGGGACCCAGTTGATGGCAGGAATTTAGTGGTGTTAGCGGAGCTGAAGCGAACGCTGCTGCTCCTCATGCCACTTCGTCGTCCTTTTTCGCTACGCGCAATGGGGCGGCTAAACCACGCGCGTCAGCGCATTAATCAGAAGCCGAACGAGGTAAGCGGTGGAACATTCCGCGCCCCGTGACATCGTCGCTTGTTCATTTAATTACGTGAATTTGTTTGTTCTTTTATATCTTTGAGGCTGGCACATCCAGGGACGTCTCTTGGAGGCGCTCCGTATTGCATATCGTGTCTGAACGTGCTCAAATAAACAGTTCGTGCCAAACCTGTGTTTTAGTTACTTCCTTTGTACTTGCTTGATAGCAACTTGCCTTCGCAATAATACTGAAAATTTACTTCTTTTTTTTTTGGGGGGGGGGGGGGGGGGAAGGGGGGGGACCACAACGTTTTCCCACGACGGCTAGGGAACGTAATTTGGAAAGGTTTCTCGACGTTCTGTGAACGTCGTTGGTAGTCCGGATGTCGTAAACACACGTATCATAAACGTCGAGGGAGGACGCAACGGCCCACTGCTGAGACGTGCATGTGACGTGCAACAAACGTCATTTGGAACGTCCCCTCGACCTTCTGTGCACCTTTTCTCGCGGACATTTAAAGGTTTCATCGACGTCGAAAGAAGGTAACGTCCGGACCTTCGACGTTTTACGACGTCACGTTACAGACGTCTTCGACGTCCTTTCGACGTTTTCTTCACGTTTATGTGCTGCTTGGAAGACGACCTCAACGACGACGTCGAGAACGACGCATAAAGGACGACGTCTAGGACGAGCTCAAGGACGACGCTAGAGGACGACATCTAGAACGACCTCAAAGTACCGGTTGACGACGTTAGACCTCAAAACGTAACGTTAGGCCTGACGTTAGGCCTAACGTCAGGCCAGCGCATACCCGCCCCCCCCCCCCTCCCCCTCTTTTTACCGCTGCGCCGCCAGCAGTTCGGCTGGCTCCTTAGCAACGATGACGCAGTTGATATGGAGCCATATGATGCGTCGCACCCAATGGGAATTTAGGTGGCGTTTTTTGCCGGCTTCACTTCACTGGACAGTTAATTGTTTCGCATTAATACATATTTCATCCGTTAAATTGTAAATATTCACGAATTGTTTTGGGCGGGAAATCTCTGCTGGCCCAATCATGTTTTCACGCTATTGCAAACTTTCGATTATTACGGAACTTCAGACCTCGATAACTGAACATTAAACGTGAATTTCAAAATGCTTTCCTGGAATTAATTAAAGCTAAGATAAATAAAATAATCGTATTTCAAGTGTCTGTGGCGCTAAGATTTTCTTCCTGGGAGGTGAGTGTCATGGTCTCGTTTTTAATGGGGGCCAATGGGAACCGGTTCATTGATTTTGGAAAAAATCTATGGTCGTGTGGCATTAAAATTCTTGAAATAGGCGGGCTATTAGGTCAATATTTATTAATTTCAGTGCAAAAAGATATGTGGGTCTTTTATTGAATCACAAAAGTAAAACCTTTTTTTGCCCGTTGCGTTATGCTGGTGCGCAGACGTGACTGCCGAGAGATGGCGTAAGTTGTAAGCGGCAGCTAAGGCCCCTGAAAAAGGGAGATAGCGACATGATTACCCTCCTCCTCTGACGCGGACATTTTTTTATCTTTATTTTTTATTTTATTTATTTATTTATCTTTTTTTTTTGCAATTTCGCATTTGCGCAACACCAACGAAATCACACCTCCACCTGTCAACAACGGCGAACCGCGGAGAGGCCCATTCCGGGTACGGCGTCTGCTTTCGATGCGAGCTGCGCCGTTTTGCCCCGGTGCGGCGATTTCGTTAAACTTTCGCCGGGTCCTCAAAGATGGGGCTACCGTTCACGCCGGACTTTAAGACTTCGTCGAACAACTTTAATCAAGCACGGAATACCACCCACGGTATAGTGTACTAGACCCACGGCTATTTTTATGTCAGTCTGCCGCCACAGTGCTGTCCGCCGTATTAGTTTGATGGCTAGTGATAATATAACTCCATCAAAAAGATGGCCGACCGTGGCCGCCATTGAGATCATACATACTAACTCTAAAGGAAAAGGTCCGCCATTTTCCTATGCATTCTGGCTGCCACAAGCGGCGGAGAATGCAGGCAGACCCTCGGGGTGCCACACATGGTTACCAACTGCCTTCGAGTTCATAATAGCGGCGCGGCGGCACGTGGAAAACAGACGCGCAACTCTGCTTCCAGTGGGGAGCCTATACAGGAACTCTAGTCAGCCCCAGATCAGCGCCAGTCAGCGCACCAACACGCGTAGAGCAAGAATCATGTACATGCTTTCGCATTCACAACTCATAAAAAGTGCTTAGGTGTACCTTGATCTTTTTTTAACCGCAAAAACGAACTACGCATCGCCGAACGCTCATTTTCCGCCCAAAAGTAGCGCTAGAGGTCCCAACCAGATGCCAAAGATTTATCACGAACCGATATATTATTCAAAAGTTTTGTGATTTTTTTTTTTAATTTCAATGGCAAAATGGTGATTGACGGAGCTCTGATTACATGAAGTTCTATGGCCCCAGAAACCTAAAATGGACGAAAATTGGCCCCATTTTCCCGTTGAAATTTTTATAAAATCATTTAAAACTTTTTAATGAAATATCGGTTCGCGCTGAAACTTTAACGTCTGATTCGGACTTCTAGCGCTACCCTTGGGCGCAGAATGAGCGTTCGGCGATGCGTGGTTTCTTTGTGCAATAAAAAAAAAACAAAAAAAAAAAACTGTATATTTTTTTCTTTTTTTGGGGGGGGGGGGGGAGGGGGGGGAGGGGGGGGAGAGACACTTTTTATTTACCGGCTTCGTTACTTTCTGTTTCTCGGCACACGTTCGCCGCATGTGTTTTTATTCGTGACAATATTCCGAGTCTTGTGCCGTCGTCAAAGGTGACCGGAGACAAAATGAAAGATGGAAATCCCTGAGAAATCGGTAGACACTGGACGGCCAGTCCTTGACAGAGATCACTACACAAGTTTTACTTGAGGGTCACGACACTTGACCCATCTTGTAGCTTAAAATGATTGTTACCATTCATCTGAAGCTTCTTTTGAGATCGCAGAAGCGGTGTTTTTTGTCCTTACGAAACGCTCAATAGAGACAGAAACAGAGCAAAACTATGTCGCCTGGGGTTCCCGTCGCTGTACCTAAAAGTCAGGAAGTCGCTTTTTCCAATCTTCAGCTATTTCCCATTGCGCTCGCTCTGCCCTAATTACCAAAGCGGCGGTGTTCACAAGACAATCAGGGAACGGAGTGCCGCTACTCTAAGCTTGGAATATTTAGTGGTTCTAGTCCTTGACCGAGAGTTTTACTTTGAGCAACAAAAACGAATTAACATCATGAAGCAGCAAACGTATTTTTCGTAATCATTGGGTCCTTGAGCATGACTGAATTAATTGTTGGTGGGTCCCCAACACGCTCAAGCGGTAGACACGAAGAGGCAGGCCTTGTCTTCTCGGAGGTATTGGTCATCTTACCGTAAATCTATGAACGTGTGCATAAATGAAACCGCTTGTTTGTTCTCATACAATACAATACAATTTATTTTTCTTTTTTGAATACATTTCGCTCTGTTCCCACGTAAGCCAAGAAGGCTTGTGTGTGGGACGCGGCAGGTGACTAACAACCACGATTTTTACAGTTTTAACTCTTTCTATGAGTTTAAACAAACCAAACAAATCAAAAGAAAAAAAGCAGCTCATATATACACGTGCATTATAACCGGCGGAACAGGCCTCTATTAGT